TTAAATAAATCAAATCAAAAAATAAATAAATAAAAAGTAGAAGAAAATTGGAGAAAAATGAAAAATTAAAAAAAAAGAAATAATAATTCTTTCTTTTTATTTACTTAAAGTGCAAATAATTAAAAAAAATTCCATCTTTATCAGTTTAAAGTCATACAATTTTATAGCTTTTTCTCTCTCTTTTTTTTATTCTATTCATTTGATCTCTTTTATCTTTTCAGAAAATAAATAAATTAGCAGTTTTTAGCAGTTTTAAAAAACAAAATTTTCGAAATGGCAAATTTCAAATTTTAATTTTTGTTTAAACTTAAAAAAATTTCTTTTCATTAACAATTGCAAGAATTTTTCAATTTCGATTTAAACATATGGTTGATGAATATTAAATAATTGAGCATATTCAAATATTTGATTGCTTTTTGGAAGAAATTAGAGTGAAAAGTTATAGTTTAGAAGTTTGAAATAATTTTTAATGAATTCAAACTCATATTTTGAAGTTGAAATTTAATGCAATAAAATTATTTCATTTCATATTTAATCATTTTAAGCTGCAATTTTATTTTTTATCAGTCACTGATAACTCTTTAAGTTAGCACTGGAAGTGCTGGAAGAATCTAATATTGATAATTCATTAGAGCAATAATGATAACAGTTTAGTTTTTTTTATCACAATGAAAAATTTTCAGCAGTAAACTTCTACAATAATAAAAAAAAAATGTGAGAAATAAAATTTAAATTTAATTTTCATTTTAAAAATAATTAATATCATTTTTCATTTCTAAAACCAAAACAATGCAGCAAATCATTAGCCAAACTATTCCATTGAGATTTTATTTTTCAAATAATCACTCAGTTTTTGATGAAATTTCTAAACTGTCGATTTTAAAAGCTTAGAATTGACATACTTTACAATCTTTCCACCAAAGACAAAAAAAAAAAGAAAGAAAAAATATTTTTTAGATTTAAAATATTTTGTTGTTTAAAAAATTTTCAACATTTATCGAAAAAATTCAAAATTAAATTTATAGAATTTAGTTTTGAATTGAATTATATTTTATAGAAATGAAATATAAAATTAGCATAACGAATAATATGTTTATTTTTCAAAATTTGAAAGAGCAATTTGTAATGATTGTATTATTTAAATGTGTACTTTAATGTGAATTGTTTATTTTTACCATTTCTTGTTAACAAAGAGATTTTATAATGTTCTAAAATTTTGTTTACAATTATTTTCCATTTTTCATCCATTATTATTAGCAAATATGAAAAAGTAATTTTAAATAATTTCATTTCATTTTAATTCCTTCGAATTTATTCAAACAAACACTTTTTTTTTTCTTCTGCTTTTGTAATAGAAAAGAAAATGATCAGAAAAAAAAATTTACTTTCAAAAATTTAAAATGTTTCTTTTTTCTCAAAAAAAAAAAAAAAAAGCCAATGTTTAATATTGTTTAAAAATGTGTTCTGTATGGCAAAATGTCGGTAAAAATTCTTTGATTTAATTAGTCTCAAAAGAAAATTTTAAATATGTATGTATGTGTATTCCTAAATTAGCACAGCTCATTCAAATTAAACTTGATCAATTAATAGTAGTAAATTTTAATGAGAAAGATTACATCAAAATCCTTTCGGAATTTAACAAAAAAAAAAAAAAGAAAAAGCAATTTAAATTTTAGCAATCAAAAATTGATGCTTATAAATAATTAAATAGCAGAATAGCTTGTTAATGAGCTTTAACATAAGTGAGAAAGAAAACCGAAAGAGAATTGCTGGTAAATAAGAAAATTCAGTAAATATTCACAAAAAAAAAAAAAAAAATTGAATAATATTTAGAAAATTATCTTTTTAGAAAAATAATAAATTATAAATTAAGAATATGTGATGGAGAAAAAATTTTGCTTTTTATCGAAAGATATTTTAAAATTTTATTTAGTGTTTTTTTTTTTTTAATTTATCAATTATGCATACAAATTTAATATTTCATTGCTAAATATAATTGTTTATAATTTTATACAAATACATAAATCGGTTATAATCATTTTATTCATAATAATAAAATTTATTAAACTTGATCTAATCCGGTATTTCTCCAATGAATGATAATAAATTCCAATATATTCTACTAAATTTTCAATTTTCAAATATATTTTCAAATATAGTTAAATTTTCAAATATGGTTTAATCATTATCAATTGCATTAGCAATTTCTCAAATGTATAAATTATATTTGTAATTTTTATCAATTCCATCTGATAATTTCTACATAAAAAAGAAAGAAGAAAATATGGAAAATAATATTTTATATCAATTTTTATTGTTTATCAAAATTTTTGGCATTTTAAAAAAGTTAAAAATTATTTAAATATGTTTTTTTCTTTTTATCTCTTTCACTCATTAACATTTAATTGATTAATTTCATCGTTCAATAAAATTTACTTTTATTACTTTTAGTGATAATATCAATGACTTTTAGCATTATATCATTTTTGTGGTTTTGTTTCTTCGAATGTAAAAAAAAAGTGAAAATAAAAAGGAAAAAAAAAATTTGAAGTGAAACAATTGTTCAATTCAAAGAGAAAAATGTTAAAAAAGAGAAAAAAAAAACATTACAAATTAAGAATTTAATTTTAGAGTTATTTATATTATTCATTCTTTCATATTTCTTTTTAGAGTATTTTTTTATAATAATAATTTTCTTTTTATCATAGTGATACTTGTAAAAATAGTGATAAATTTGATAAGAAAATTGATAATTTGTAAAGAGAATATTTCCTCTCAATAAATGCAATTGTGATAAAAGCATAAAGGATGAAATTAAATTTTCTCTAATAAAAGTTGTAATTTATTGCTTTCATTTTAAACTAAAAACATTATTTAAATAGATATATTCAATGTTTACACTATTATATATATCACATTGCATCATTTATTTACTTATAATATCATTTTAATTATTATTTTATATTTGAATATAATTTCTCATGTATATTAATTAATTAATAATTAATTAACAGGTGTTATAGTGATATTATATATGTCCGAACATATTCAACTATAGTAATCATTATTTTATATATTAATAATTATCATTGTTATAGTGATACACAAATATATTCAATATAGTTATTCAGATGGCATAATAATAATAATAATAATAATAATAATAATAATAATTATTATTATTATTATTATTATTATTATAGTGATCGGAATATCGAAATATATCAATCATAATACATAATCATCATTGTTATAGTGATTACATATACCAAATACATTAGATAGTAATAATTATTATTATAGTGATTTATACGATATAATTAATCACAATACATAATTATCATTGTTATAATGCATATTGAATATAATGAACCACATTAGATTATTATTATTACTATTATTATTATTATTATTATTATTATTATTATTATTATTATTATTATTATTATTATTATTATAGTGAATCAATCAACTATGAAATAGCTGAGAAAATTTGAAATTTAAATTTGTCAATAAAATGTATAAATTCTTTTAACTCATTCTTTCTCACATTTTATTATATTATTAGTTTCATTTGTTGGAAATTCATTTATATCTAATTACTGCTACCTTTGAACTAATAAAATAGTAATTAATTTTTTGTCAAATTTACTTTGACAACTTTCAAAACAAAAACGAACATTCGAGAGTACAAAGTATTGGTCATAAAATGAAGCTTAACAAGTCATAAAACATTCCACTGATCTTTTTTTATTGTTTCAAATTAACTTTTCGAAAATTAATTGTTTGCCAGAAAAAAAAGCAAAACAAATTGATAAATTTTATTTTAAAATTTTTTTTAAAAAAAAAATTCAAAATAGTTATTATAGCAAAAAAAAAAATGATAAATAATACTAATTTTTTCTAAATTCAACAAATTTTGATAATTAATTTTGAAAAGAGAAAAAAAAAACTATAGACTTGACATGTTTATAGTTTTTGAGAACAAAAAAATTAAATTAATATTATATTAATTACAATTTATTAAATCCTTACTCATTAGGTTTCATTACATATCGTTTTTATTTATTATTTTGATATAAATGATATGATATGTGATAACAATTATGATAAATAATGTTAACTTATCATATAATATTAACTGACATTGCAATCTTTTTTATTTTATTAAAAAGGAAAACTAATAATGATTTTTAAATATTTTAATATACTTTCTAAATTCTTTTCAATTACATTTTAATAATATTAAAAATATAATTGGATAAGCTCAATATAGTAGTAAAGTAATATTAATATTCCTATACATTTTTTACTTTAATTTTATTAAAATTGATTTAAATTTTAGTGGTATCAAAGAAGTGCTTAATTTGATAAACTTAGAATAATTTTAATATTCCTAGTCATTTCTTCTTTTTTATTTTAATTTTACAAAATTAATTTTTCCCACCTTTTTTTTTTTTTTTTATTTTCTGATTACAATTTAAAAATATGTAAATCTTTTTAAAAATTTTTCATCACTTATTGTTTTAGATTTAAGAGCATCTGTTGTTTCTATGATTGATGGATGATCAATTTGAAATTGTTGCTATTGCTAACTTTTTTTTTTTTCTTTTCTTTCTTCTTTTCTTCTCTTTTTTTTTTTGTGTGAAATTGTTGCTATTGTTAGAATTTTTCATTTAGTAAAATTTAAAGCAAAAAAGAAAAAAAAAACTTTTTGGAATAAATTTCTATGCATAGTGAGGGAGCATTTTTAACAGAAAAATAATGCAAAATTTCTGGCTAATTTAAACATTTCAACAATAATTATTTAATAAAAAATTTTATTTAAAATATATAATAGTTAAACTTTTGAATTTTTATTTTTTGAATATATTAATTGATGAAAAAAAAAAAGAAATGATTAAAGTTAAAATTTTGCAAATTTTTATTTTTTAATTTTTAAATTTCAAATTTTGTTTATTAATTTTTAATTTAATTAATACAATAATATATTTTTACAGAGTGATAATCAATCACAGAATCGTAGTATTACAACTATACAAGCAACTGATTGCATACTCAAAAATCGTCCAGCATTACGTCTTGATTCACGTCTTGTTTGCAAATATGAAGTATTAGCTATAATTGGAAAAGGATCATTTTCACAGGTAATATTTCTCTTTTTTTTTGTTTAATTAATTAATTGATTAATTAATTAACTAATTATTTAATTCTCTTCATTTATTATATGTTTATTTATAAAAGTTCCTCCCAAACTATACAAATTAGTTTTACATCAAAGTAAAAACATCAAAAGAAGAAAAAAAAAGAATTAAATAAAAATAGAATTTATAATATTTGACAATTTGATTTGAAATTGTGTTACTTGTATACTATTTATTTTTTTTTTAGCATTACTTATATTTTTTAGAAAAGAAAACTTATTTATTCTAGTATAACTTATTTATTGTAGTATAACTTATACTTACTGTAAATTTTATTTATTATAGGTTCTTCGGGTACAACATCGTCTAACACATAAATATTATGCGGTAAAATTAGTTTCAGCTGATTGTGGCACTGTAAATAATGAATTAGCAATATTAAGTCGTGTACAGCATCCATTTGTGATTCGACTTGAAGAGGTTCCGCAAAATTAATTAATTAATTAATTAATTTACTTGTTTGTTTGTAAACATTTTACATTGAAAGATGTATTCGTTTTATTTTTATTTATTTATTTTGTTTCTGAACGATGTTAATTTTATTTCACATAGAAAAAAAAAATAAATAATAAATAAATAAATAATTGATTTGATTTTTTGAAAGGAAAAGGTCAAAAACGAAAAAAAAAATTAAATAATCGATTTAATTCTAAAAGGTGAAGAAAGAAAGGAGAGAGAGAGAGAGAGAGGGAGGGAGGGAAAAAAAGAAAGAAATCTGAAATAATATGTTCACAGAATATTAATTATTAATATTAATTTATTATTTTTATATTTCTTATTACAAAAAAAGAAAAAGTTAATTAAATTTGTTTAAATTTTTGTAGATAAAAATTACCATTTAGAAATTGTAATAAAATATGTATTTTTTTAACTTTTATAAATTGTAATATTTTCTTTTATTTTGTTTTGTTCTTTTTTTTTAAGTATTTAACTTGTAAATAAAATAATTTTTATAAATTATAAAAAAGTAAAAATGAAATAAATGAATATTTAGGTGTTTAAATCATCATCACGATTATTTATTGTAATGGAAATGGCAAGTGGTGGTGAAATGTATAATCGTGTGGTAGCAAAAGGAAGATATTCTGAAATAGAAGCACGACAAGCACTTCGAATGCTTTTAAATGGTTTAGCATATTTGCATAGTATTCGAGTGACACATCGTGATTTAAAACCGGAAAATTTATTGTACAGTGATGCAACACCGGATGCTAGATTGCTTATTACGGATTTTGGTTTAGCATATCAAACGCAAACATCGGAGGAGAAAATGACTGAAACATGTGGTACACCGGAATATATTGCACCAGAAGTAAATAATTTATTTTTTATAAATTATTTAATTTTTTTTTCAAACATATAATTCTTTTGTAATATACATTTTTTTTTTTTTAATATTTATTTTTTCAAAATTTCAAATAATTTAATAAATTAAGTCTAAAAAAAAAAACACTTTTTTGTTATTTTTTATTTTTACTTTCACTTTTTTTGTTTGTTGTTGTTACTATTATATAAAATATTTTGAAATAAATTTAAAAATTTTTATCAATTATAAGGTTCTTCTTCGATCAGCTTATACTGAAAAGGTAGATATGTGGGCAGTTGGTGTCATTGCATATATTTTAATGTCCGGTATAATGCCATTCGATGATGATTGTCGATCTCGTTTGTATACACAAATTATTACAGCTAATTATATTTATTATCCACAGGTTTAGTTTTTTTATAAGTTTTTATTTTTACGGATTTAACAGAAACAAAATTTGTTAATGAATATTATTTATTAATAAATATTAGCATTGAAAAGAAAAATTTTTAAATTAATAAGTATTAAGAATTAAATGGTTTTTTTTTTTTTTAAAAAAAAGAAAAAAATTACAAGTTTATAATATTTTTTAAATAAATATATTAAATAATTTAAATAAATAAACAAATATATTAATTAAAAATTATTTCATTTAATTATAGTATTAGTATTAAAAAGAAAATGTTACATAAGTATGATTTAATTATAGTTTTGGTCTGGTTCAGAATTAGCAAAAGATTTTGTTGATGCATTACTGGAAACGGATCCGGATGTACGATTAAGTGCAACAGATGCCGTAAAACATGAATGGTTTATGGGAAATCGAAATCAACTAAAAGTAATAATTAAAACACGACCTGCTTCCGATTTTACGACAATTCAACGGGTAATTAAATTTTATTATAATTGATTTTATTAAAACAAATTAAAAAAAAAAACGGTAAAAATTTCTATCAATTTTTTACAATATATATTTTTTTTTTAATATATAAAACTTTTATTTTATAAATTCATTATTCAATAAATTGATATAGAAATAAATTTATAAAATAAAATTTTTGCATTTAGGAAGAAAAAATAAGTATTTTATTGTGATTGGAATTTCAAATAATCTTTTTTTTTTTTTCAATGTATCAAATAAATTTCATTTTATTTAAGCAATTAATTACTTTTTTTTTAATTTCCCTTTTTTTTTACATATTTGCTAAGTTTTTTTAAGAAAATAAATTGTTGCTTTTAATTTAATCATGCAAAATTATCACATTATCAGTGATATTAAATGGAAAAATTGATGATAGCTTACGGATTAGAGGAGAAGTAATTTAATTTTACAATAATTTCCATTTTTAATTTAAATTCACTCTTGTTTGGAGCTTTTTTTTTTTTTACTTTTAATTAATTATTTCTTCTTTAAATCGATCAGTGCAGAAATGATAAATTTTGAAGCATAAGAATTGATGAAAAAATTAATGCTTAATTAAATTAATATAACGTAAATTAATTTTTAAATTTTTTTCTTTTTTTTTTTCTTTTCATTTTTTTTTTTAATTTTCTAACAAATAGCAATAATAATAATAATAATGTTTTGAAGACGAAAGTATGAAATATAAGTAATTTTAATTACAATGATAGGAATGTACGTTCCATTATTGAAAAATATAATATATTAAATGGATAAATTATTTAATTGATTAATTAATTAAATTGAATTGCTTAAGAGTTATTAAAATTGATAAAATTAATTAAAACTGAAAGAGAAAGTCATAATGATTCGTTAGCAATGATAAATTATGATAAAGTATTTCTTATTTTTATTTCTTTTTTTTTTTTATTAAATAATAGCAATGAAATTTTAAAAATGAAAGTATAAAATAATTTAAAAAAAAAATAATAAAACAAATTTTTATTGTATGTATATTATTTTCTTCAGACACGTTCCACGCGATCAATTCGAAGTGTTACACGATCAGATCACGGTCATCGCGTTGATCCACGTGAAGTAGATCGTTTAGCTAGTGATTTACAACGTTTAGCAAAATTTCAACAACATTCAACTAAACATTACGGTTTTTTATAGTTTTATTCCTTTGTATTATAATTAGTTCAGAGAAAAAAAAAAATTTTTTTTTTTTCTTATTACTTTACTAAATTCCTTGGCTATTTTTCATTTTTATTTATTAAAAATTTTGAAATTTTTTATTGTATATGGAAATTAATTTGTTATATGTTCACTATTACATATTTATTATGTATTATAATTTATTAATTAATCAATTGATTGATCAATTAATTAATTAATTAATTAATTAATTAAGTCATGCTCAATTTCTACCTTTTTTGCTTTGTCGTGATTCAAAGATGCATTTTCTTTCTTTCTTTTTTTTTTTAAAAATATATATATATGTATGTATCGATTCAATGAACTCAATAATATTCTGATGAATTACTTTTTGATAAGCATAATCATTCAACAATAATTAATTACATTATTCATTAATCATTAAGATTGATTAAATATGTAATAATGGATATAACGATTGATTAGAATAGGAATTAATTTAAATTTATTAAAATTTAGAGAATGAAAAAAAAATACATATGTAATTTCTTCTTATATCCTAAATAATTATTTTATTTCTTCTATTTTATGTTCAAAAAAAAAAAAACAATTTCTGACTTTTTTCCTCAAAATTTCGAGAAAATTTTAAAGGTTTGAAAAGGATTTCACTTAAAATACTTTCATTTTTTTCCCAAATTTAATTTAAAATTAAATTATTTGTTATATACTACAATAACAAATTAGCTCGTCCATTGTTGCTATTTTGGTAATAACTTCAAATTATATCTTTGATAATGATTAATCATTATCAGCGGATATTAATGAAGATCAATTATCAATCTATTATTATACTTCTTAAACTAAAATGTAACTGTAAAGATAGTTTCACTATATGATTAATTATAATTAATTTAATTAGAAATTATTCACAATGTTTTTAACCTTGAAATATAGTAACTTCTTCTCACTTTCCATATGAAAATATGAAATTCAATTTTCAAATACTTATTGAATTATTAATAATTAATTTAATAATACAGGCAAAAAAAAAAAAAAAATTTGTGAAATGAATTTCCAAGTATTATTGAATAATCATAGTAGCAGCATCAATAATTTCTTGCAATTCAAAAAGAAAAAAGACTAACATTTCTATTTTCAACAAAATTTCTAAGATTATTGAATATATTTAATGGTATCATATAATTATTCATGAAAAAAAGTTGGGTAAAAGTAAGAAAAAAAATAAAAAAAAAAATGTAAAATTAACTGAAAAGTTGACAATTCCGTAAAAATTTCTTTGAGAAGGCATAATTTCCTTGGCATGAAATAAGGATATTATGTAATATACGTTCAATAACACTTTCTAATTACTATTTCTTTCAGACTATTTTTATTATTAGAATAATAATATTATTGTAGAGATATTTGTTACAAATAAAAGAATTTATCCAATAATTTCTAAAAGCATTGGAATAAAAATTAGTAAAATTTTAATATATTAATATTGCAACATTTTTTTGAATTTGAAATGGATATCTATTAATCAAATAATAATCAATTTTTTTAATTAACTTTGTCAATCAAGCATTTGAAACAATTTGCTGCATTAATTATAATTTAAATTTCAAAAATTTACCTTAAATTTAAAGTCATTTTAAAGATGTTCTCAAATGATCTAGAAAATTCATTACATAATGCAGAAACATAAACATAAACACACAAACAAACAGACATTACATTATTCTTTATCACACAATCACACAAAGTTAACTTTATTTAATCAAGCATTTGAGGAAATTTGTTGCATTAATTAAAATTTTTCTTCAAAATTTCAAAAATATAGCCTAAAGTTGAGGTAAGAAAATGTTTGGGTATATTATTTTCAAATGTAAACAACAAGAAACAATGAATTTCTAAATAAAAATCCATTTAACATATTAAATTTTTCGCCTTTTGTTCAATTTTAGCATTTTCTCGGCAAAATAATCATTGATCGAAATCTTATTGACAATCATATTCCCAGATGCCGGTGCTGATTTAACCTAAAATTTGTGTTCCTTTAATAAAATATTGATTCCGACAAACTGGATTCTCAAGGAAGACCAAAAATATGTCCATACTATCAATTTCTCTTTCTCAAAAAAAGGAAAAAGAAATATTTTGAAAATTTTTAAAATTTCTAAACTATAAAAAAGAATAAAACCAGCTAACTTCATCTTTCTGCTTATTCTCGTCAATGCTTTCATCACTAGTACTTGGTGCTGATCTCTTGCCAAAAATAGCATATTTATCTTTTTCTGACATCATTGATAAATCCGGAATATATCTATCTTTCCTGTGCCTAAAATATCGATGTTTTTACAACGAATAGTAAGAAAAATCATAATCTGTTAGTAAGTTGATAATTTTAGCTGAAAATTTTGATCAAAACTTATTTTAAAACCACAAAAATTTATTTATCCAACAAACTAATATGTCCAGCTTTTTTCTGCGACATTTTGTCATTTAAATGTTCTGCTAACATGAAAAACTAGTCAACTTTTGAGCAATTGCCTCTCTAAAATTTGTCATAGAAATAAGTCATTCTGAAACAACTTATTCGACAAATCTACCTTTCAAAATCTAATTTTGCTATATTATGAATATTTTAAGAAAATCATCACAACATGATTGAAACCCACTCATTTAAGATTACTTTTGACTTCACTTTGTTCAAATTATTCTTCATTGGATTAGCAGCTTTTGATTTCTCTTTTTTCTTATTTAAATCAGCTAAAATAGCTGCAAAGCTATCATGATGAGCAATCCAAACTTCATCGTTTCTTTCATTACATCCTAAACCTGAAATTAAAATATTAATAATTAAATTTAGATGATTAAAATTTTAAATTAAAGGATTACGATATGAGAAAAACCTTTCAAAGTACTTCAATGATTTATCATCGTTTCGATGACTAAATCACCTTCATTGAACACCTGCGCTGAATTAATGCTAAATAAATAACAATGACCATATGTCTTACTTCCTTCTTTCCACCCTTCATTTCCAGATGGTTTATGAATATATTTTCGAACACTACTACTGTAATAGTAAAATCTTTAATACTCCCATGACTGGAAAACTTTTACAAATATGATGTATATTTGAATTATTTTACTTATGATTTTGAAATTTGTAAAATAAACTAATATCATTTGATCCAACTATAAATTCTACATATCCTATCAAAGCATCAACCAAAAGATTCAAGGCTGATTATAGGCATTTGAGTAATATATCCATATATTCTTTTATTTTCTCTTTAATACATATAAATTGTAAAAAAAAAAAAAAAACCTTTTGTTAAAACGTTTGCTTTCATTTGTAAATTTTCAGTGATTCCTTGTTCATATTTGCCTAATCCAGAACCCGGTTTCCAACCCATCTTCTCTAGCATCACTTGTCCAAATTTAGAATCATCTAAAAACTCAATCCAAATTCATTTAAGAAATTAAACTATTGAAAACCTATACAAAGTAGTGGAAAAAAAAAGTATAAAAAAAGATATACCATTTCGCCATGTGATATTTTGCGAATTAATCAAATTTCTTTGGTCTTGACGAGATTTCTTTCGAGATGACATATCACACTCCTTTTTTCTCCACAAATTTTAATAAACTAATCCCTAAAATTAGCATATATATATATAGTTTGAAAAAGTCGCTTTTGTTAATTTCTGTTTTTAAAAAACACTCTAAAAAAATGCTGCAAAGGAATCGAAACAAAACAAAACAAAACAAAAAATATTTTCTACATTGTATGTGCATAAGATAAATTAATCATTGAAATTTATCATTTTTTTAAAAAAGTTATTTCTTTAATTTCCTTAAATTATTTATTCGCCATGAAAAATACCAAAATCCCATAAGCAAAAAACAAAACACAGAAAAAAAACAAAAGAAAAATGTAAGATGCAATATACAAAGATTCTATAATTGATTAATTATAGAATCAAAGTTACAAAGTTTAGTTTTAGATAACAAAAAAAAAAAAAAAAAAAAACTACTTCAGCAAAAATTAACATCAGTAAATAAAAATAGTGTCATACGATTATTATAAGAAGTAATTAACAGTTTAATAGATTAAACATATATACACATAACATCCAATTATTTCACCAACAATAAATAAACCATTTTGTTGGATGCTAAGAAAAGTCCCTTTATTAATTTCTTATTCATAATTGATTGGTACTATAAATTAATCAATAAACCAATTCATATCATTATTCGTTGATTAGATTCACAGCGATTCGAACTGCTAAATTTCAAATGAAACAAACAATAATTACAAATGTCAATAAATATGTAACTATTACATGTATACACATTATTTTTCTAAGGAAAAAAATTTAGAAACAATACATTTAATGAAATAATTTTAAAAAGCAGCATGAAATTCAATAATCCAAATTTCGGATGTCCAAACCATTTTCATAGGTGCACCTTGATAAAGTGTACCAGCTGTAATAAATAATTGCGTTTCAGGTGAGATCTGATATAATCCATAATAATACGGCAGCATCCAATAAGCAATCGGTGCAACCGTATAAAATTGTCCTGCATGTGTATGTCCTGAAAAAAAGGTTTTTTTTTTTTTTAGATTTTTTTGCTAGTTTGTTAATCGTTTTTTTTTTTTTTTTAATTTGCTAATAAAATTATATAGGCACACAAATCTTCCCATAGTTAGATGTAAATAAGATGTATCTTTGTAATCAATAGAAATAAGTAAATTCATATATACTTATTTACTAAAAATTTAAAAAATACAAATATTTCGCTCACTAACCTGACAGAATGAGGTCAACACGTAGATGTGCACTATTAAAAGCAATTTCTTTAGCTGAAGCTGGATTATGTGAAAGTACAATAGTTGTAGTATTTTGAGGACAACCTTTTAGCGCTTCTACTGGTTGAAACTTATGAGCAGGCAATCTATAAAATGATAATAAATATGTTTGGATTTGAAATTTAGTTTAGTTAAAAAATCTCTTAATACTGCACTTTAGCGGGGAAAAAATATGAGAAAATTAATTAGTTTGACGGATGATATTAAATGCTTTTTCAAAGTTCAACATGTAGTACTAAAAAAGATGGAAAATTCAGGTCAACTTACCCGCTTTCTCCACTAGAATAATCGCTCACACCAGCTATACAAATACCACGAAAAAGCACATGCCTGGAATAGCATGTAAAGTTGATTGGAAGAAAAATTTATCAATCCATCAATCAACTTTCAAAACTTGCAATTTGAAATACAAAATTACTGGAACAGAAAATGTCTCAGATCAAGCAAAAGCAGGATAAATATATTAATTTATATTCCATATTTGCATAATTTTTAGAGAATTTTCTTGCTAATGTAAATATTATGTTGTTCTCCTCTCCTAAACCTGGCTTATTAAAAAAAAAAAAAAAAAGCAGAACAAACCTGTTATTTAAAATCTCAAATCCATACTGTTGAAATAAATCAAACCATTCCGAAGCATTGCCGTAATAATATTCGTGATTTCCACTAACATAAAACGTTTTCTGTTTCAAAAACCTTAAAAAGCATCGAAAACTTTTGTGCTTAAAAGTACTTTTTAGATTTGATGAAAAATTTTTTAACATATTCTAGAAAAATAAATAAGTTTACTGTAAATTTCCATAAAATTACTGATGATTAAATTATTTGCAATTATTATCCATCATCAAAATGTAATTAATTCTGACATACATAGCCCAATAAATTTAATGCAATTTCATACTGAACGAACATTTATGTTCTTCTTTTTTTTTTTTTTTGTTTCTTCTTTATGTTCTTAGATTAATCTACCAAATAATTCCGCCAGATGAAATCACTCATAGTGCTGTTAATTCAGTAGAAATGATCGATTGAACATTATAACTTAACTAACTGACAAAATAAGAATAATGAAATAATCATTTAATTTTTTCTTGATAAAGAAACAAGAATAAATTAACAAACGAAGATAAATCTGAATCAGACTTATAACTTAGAATATTTTTACCGTAACGGTTTTACACGATTTTCTATTGAATCTCTTGGAGCATCCACTGCATCACCAACAAGAAATACAGCATCAACCGATTCACTGTTCACACGATCTACAATCTGCAAAATATTTATTCTTTATAATAATATCAGTAGTATTTTTAAAGCAAAAAGAGTAATACGACAGAAAAATCAAAATCAAAAAAAAAAAAAATCAACTTCACTTCTATCAGTATTCAACCAAATTTGAAAAACTAAAATAAATAAGCAAAATTGAATCACTTTAAAAAAACAAAATCAAAAACCTAGCAATAACAAATATGAAAAGTACTTCTTCAATTTTTTCCTTAAATACTGTTGCACCTGCATGGATATCTGATATAAGGGCAAATCGTATGCCTTCTGTACCATTCGGCAAATCTTTTACATTCAGTGAAACATTCTGAAATATTCTTTGAATTTAAAACCAAATTTACTAACATAATGAAGTAATACTACATACTCAAGTGAAGTAAAAAAAAAAAAATTAACAATACAAGCAAGTTATAGAAGAAAGGAAAAATGTAAAATTATATTAATACTGCAAATGATAACTGATAGTAAAGATAATTGCTAAAAAATTTAAGTAAAACGAATAAAAAGAAAAACTAACTTTAATTACTAAATTATCACAAAAAATATATGAGAAAAAACATAAAAATATAGCAATCAGTAATGTGAAAGCAGTTTGCACATTTTTATTCAAACAAAATGCTTCCAAAACGGAAAATTTGGAGAAACATTTATTGATGAATGGATGACAAATATTTACTGTCTGAAATACATTTCATTTTTTTCAAAACTCATTTTATATTATCTGAAACAGATAGTGAAACGACTGTTGAAAGAATATGCTTAAACAGTGCTGTGAACTTATCACAAATATCAAATACCTTCAGAAATTATGAGTGATTTAAATAAGTAATTCATAGGAATAACTTGCTTTCTATCAAAAATTATATAAAAATTCGTTTTTTTACAACTAATTTAATAGCTTATTTAAAAGTAGAAAATGAATGTTTCATTGTGGATGCATTACTTTACAGTAATGAAATGCAAGTAGAGAATGTAAAAGTTAAAAACTTACCTTTAATTCAGAAAATACTGCTGTTAGAATTGCAAACGCAACTAAAGGAATGACAATATGGTACCATAAACCTATCGATAAAAATGATAACATAACCAAGAAACGTGGTACCAAGTCAGGAATGAAATATAAGAAAAGTGTTGCATGTCCCAGAAATAACCATAATATCGTACCAATAGCTATCAATTGCAAATAGATACTTTTTTTTCCGTATAAATTCACCATCTAAAATTTACAGCAATCTTAGCTATATAAAAAAAAAAAAAAAAAAAAAAAGAAAATGAATCTACACTAAATACTTATAAACCTCCTTCAAAAAAAAAAAAATTGCAAAGTAGTAGTATCAAATATACAGTGTTCAGTGGAATCAGAAATAAAAATAACTTTATTATCTATTTCCTTTTTTGCTTTTTTTATAATAAATAAGAAAATAAGATAAAACAACATTTGTTTTTTCTAACAAAAATGTTTTTGTTTTTTTTTTCTACAGCACTTCTTTTTTTCTAACAATTGTTACTTCATAAATAAAAGAGTATAAGTTGAACTTTTTTCTAGCTTAAATTTCTTCAAAATAGTTTTAGTAAAAATATTTATAAAATTTTTTACGATATGCATAAATTACCTTTCCAGCATGATCTGTTATCATACCATTATTATTATATGCTAACACATATTTTGCAAGTTGAATGAGTCGCAGATACACGAAAACGCTGAACGGAAGTATAAAAAGTTCAAATTTGACTGTACTCAATTGACGTGCACGATTGCCTTTTCGATAATCGTGAACATCATTCACCTGTAAATAAGATAAAAAAGTGTTCCTGAAATGCTTCAAGAATTTCAGTATTATATAATCCTGAAAAAATTGAGGAATATTGAGGAAAATAATAGAATGAGGAAAAAATATAGCATTTTTCCTAAGTAAAATTTTCTAAAAACATTTGATCACAGTTATTTCTTTATGAAAATTAAATAAAATCAAGGAAACTAAATAAAAATGAAACAAATTATTTTTTTCCTTTCTCTTGAAAGGTAATTGTATGCCAAATATCATATTATCATCTATAGATAATTTTGAAAGCATTTAGAAATACTAATTTTGAAGTAATAATGTAAAACTTACACCAAATATTCTCATGCCAAAAATATTGAGAAAAATGATGCTAACTGATGAGATAATAATGGAAATGATAACTGGAAAACGGGCGATCCGGAAATTCATCTTTCTAAAATCAAGAATTCTGTGAACAAAAATGTTATTTTAATTATGATAAAATGATGAATTAGCAAATAATATAATTAATAAAAACTTCTATGAGGGAAAAAAGAATAAACTGTGCATAATTTCAAATAATTAAAAATGAAAATCGAACCCAATAAATTTCATTTAGCTTAAAAAAATTTAAACATTGATAAAACTATCTTGTAAGTATACGGTAACATATTTAAGACATGAATTTAGCTTGTCACATCCAATTGGCACTAAGCATTAGCAATCATATGGAAAAATGAACGAATGCATAAGGAATAATTTAAAATTTTCTCTCTAATCTAATAAAAATAACTTTTTAAGAATTTTCTTCGTTGGATGCAGAACTTTGATCCAAACTAATTATCAAAAAATTTGTAAAAGTTATTTATTAATTATCAGTTGATCGAATGCTCACCGTTGTCCTTCATGAAGTTGTTTCTATTTCATCCATGGTATTACTAGACTTCATAAGATCTTAATGATGTACATTATTACCAAAAATTATTTCACTTGAGAATGTCACGATTGTTTTGAAGTCTTAATTGTTCAATTGTTTTAAATTCCTGATATTTTGAATGCATTCCCAGCAATAAATCTACCTGCAACGACACTAGGAGATATACTAAAAGAAATGAACCCACAAAAACTTAACATTCATAATTGCCATATTATTTCAAATAAAAATTTCATTAAACTCCCATCATGCTAAAGAGATTAATTTAAGATGAAATTTTTGCGAATTTCATAAAAATAAGAAAAGCTGCTAGAAGAGTAATCATAAGAATTTCTTAGCATAAAAAAAAAAAAAAAAAACTCCCGAGATGTAGCCAAGATTTTATACCTGATAAATATACAATTTACTAAACAGAAATGTTATAACTTACAAACATATACAAAAATAGCGTTACAATCAGATAATTTTATAATTATAATACCATCAAAATAATGCAGACCCAAGCAAAAATATTAATTATCTTTCTACCTTGAATCCATAACTATTGAGTAACATAACCAATGAATAAACAAATGCAAGTAAACAAAAAGTCACGGTGTTAATACAAATTACATACAAAATATCAACATAAAGTATTATCTTTATTCGTCATTAGAACGAAAAAAGAAGGAAACTTATTTACATATTATATTTTCTAAGCTAGGTTCATGCACGTAACGTCAGTAAAGTTATTTCGCATAAGTTTAACATTTTTACTGGTGGACCCCAATAATTCACACCAGATGACACGTAAATTTGAGTGTCTCTATTTTTAATTTTGTAATGTCCATATAAGAAATCATTCTTCAGATATGCAAGAAACCATACGATATAAAACTGTCCAGCATGTGTGTGCCCTAGAAAAATTTTTAGATATGTCAATATGAGACTTAATATTGCAATTTCTTGTCTAATATTTTTCTCGCGTTATTTAATATAAGTCAATTTATTTTTATGAAAAGAAAAAAAGTCTAATGTTCATATCAGATATATATCACGCGTAAAATTGAGCTACATTTAATTGCAGGAAGTAGTTAATTGTCAACGTTGTACTCGTATCACTTAATCCACTAATATAAAAAAAACATGTGACATTAGAACGGTCTACTGCAAGTAAGTGTTTATTCTATCTACATACTGACACTCTGACTCGCTTTTTAATATATGATATCAAAAATTTTCATGTTATGGAAATACTTTGAACAAAGTGCAAAGCTTTCCATGTAAAAAATTAAGGCTTTATCCGGAAATTCGCCTATAAAAATTTTAACTAAATTAAACTTTACCTTAAACAAAATGAGATTAAATGATTTGTTGAAATCTATTAATTAAAATCGTCAAGAAAATATGCTTATTATTTAATGGACACAAAACAAATAAAATTATGAGACAAAAACTTTCGAAATAGTTAAGAGAAAATAAAAGAATTTTCTAACACTAATTTTCTTGCAATTTTTCACTTAATACTAACCTGATAAAATCAAATCAATTCGTTTCTTAGTATTACGTAAAATTTTAGAAGCACCATTTGGTTGATGTACCAATAATATCGTAGGTTGTGTCTCACTACAACCACTCAATGCACGTTCTGCATCCATATGATGATCAGAGATTCGAAGTTTCTCTAGAAACAAATAAATTATAATAAAATTAGAAATGAAAACATCGTGCAAATGACTTCAAGTAATTTTTCAGTTTTTTTTTTCTTTTCTTAAAACAAAGATCTGATGTCTCCTAAAGCCAAATGTACATGAGTAAAAAAAAGTTCTAATTACATGAGTAATTTAGAAAAGGTCAAAACAAAATCTTCTAGCAAAATAACGAATGAAGAATACCTGTGAAAAAATCATCCACACCAGCAACACAAATACAATCACCGCTACTCGAACAGAGATTACGATTTTCGTTACGCAAAACAGTGATATTAAATTTCGTCGTGAAATAATGTAACCATTCGTTCGTATCACCATAATAGTATTCATGATTACCTACAAACATATATATATATATTTATTAAATAGCAAATTTGTATTAAAATGATATTTTAAAAAGAGTTTTCTAACTATGCAATTAAAGAGCGAAACATGAAACTGAAATATGAAACAAATTAAAAATTGAGTTCTTGAAAGCTTTCTTATAAAAAAATTTCCTCAAAACAAATCAAGCGTAAACTATTCACATGCATATTAACTTAAAAGTATGCTCGAATAAATATGCTATTTTAAAATTTCGTTATTTCATAAGTCGACATATTTCTACACATTAAGAACTGTTGCAAAAATCAGATAAAAAAAATCATGTAGAACTTCAGATTGATAGATCTTATTCATAGTCACATAGTGGATTAAACTATAGTGAATAAATTTGCTTGAATATGATGAAACAAGTTTGAAGTTTATCTTTATAGAAAGAAATTTCAAGCATCTCTAAATATCTGGAATAAATTTTCTAGACATTAAAAAAAAAAAAAATGAACTGACCGGTAACATAATAGACACCAAACTTCGATCGTAATTCTGCTAGGGGCAAAGTAGGTTGTACCAAATTTGATAAGAATCCATCAACTAAATCACCGGAAATAGCCACCATATCTGCGTGTAATGCATTTGTTTTTTCAACAATTTCTCTAACCCGTTTCTGATCAACGGTAGGTCCAATATGAATATCAGTTAGTAAAACGATAGTGAAACCATCAAGTGATGCGGGAAGGTCACGAATTTTTACATTTACCCGATTTATCTAAATGAAATAAGAATTAAGTTGAAGATAAAAGAAAAAAAAAAGACATTTCTAGATGCATATTATTCTTTCACTTCACGAAAAAATATTCAATGTTTATTCCTGTACTAGCAAAAATTTGATGAAATAAATTATTTAATTTCATAAAAGAGAAAAAAACCCTTTAACACAGCACTCCTTCATAAAAAGGAATTAGATTTCTCATTTATTCTTGTAACCCAATCTATCTTAATAAAAATAAATAATTAAAGTTAATAGGAATAAATAAATGTTTATATGCAATAGTATTATTTGATACAATAACTTACCACTGGGGCTGAACGTGTAACAGCAAAACCAGCACCAGTTAAAATTAATGCCAGTAGAAGTGATAATACAGTGTTGAATTTTCTAGATTGAAAAACGGCAAAAAATTTTGGCCAAAAATTCCAACGTGAAGTTACAAGTTCGACAACTACTAAGACCAGTAGAAAGAAACCCATATGCAAATATATTGAAAGACAGATAAAACTGAAGAAAAGCAAAGTCTTTTACCGATTATCATATAATAAATTTTAAATGTTGTCAATCTAATAAATAGACTAGCAAAAAAAAAAAGTGAATTAAAAAAAAAAAAATTTATTCCTAAGTTTTCATTATATTACTGTTTAAAAAAAATTATATTATTGTTTCATTACATCATATTACTGTTCAAATTTTCATTATATTTTATATTATATTTAGAACTAAAAATATGCCCAGAAATTTCATTCCATACATAGAACATTAGTTAACAGAAAAAAAGTTTGAATCCTTGTTTTTGGGAGCATTTTGAATTGTACTATATTATATAGTCATCAGGAAAAGAAATAAAACTTACCATATGGTAGAAATTAAGCTGCTATCTGGTAAATAAATATAAAAAAATACTAGTGAAGCATGCGAAAAGAATATGCTGAGTAAAGTTGCTGTTTTGAACAAGTCTTGCAATATGATAGCAATCGGTTGGATCAATCTAGAATTTAACTAGTTATTAAATTCCAAAATAATATTTAAACTTTATAGCTAACTAATAAAGAATGACATATTCAAGTGAGATAGGAAATATTATCTCAGCAAATTATTAGTTAGTTCTATTTTTTTATAATCAAAGCAAGAAAGAACATTCCTTTGCAAACAAAATATTGCAGGTCAATAGAAGAATAAATTGGTATGGTCCTTCCACTTATGATTGCTCTTTCGTTTTTTTTTTTTTTTTTTTTATTATACATTGCTTCGCACTCCTTAATTTGTTAAGAAAATATGTCATTGACTCTTGAAATTTCAATCCATATTCAAACAGGATTTCAATCAACTGGTTAGCAATGAAGATGATGCATTATACTGAAGCAGCAGAAGAAGCAGCACAGTATCAACAACAACAACTACTACTACAATAATAATAATAACAATAACAACATGCTAAATCAGTCTAAATAACTACCCGCAGTCTAATAGGAGGTAAATTAAACAAAACAGTTTGACGGTCGACATCATACATCTTCTTTGTAAGATACGTGTAACATTCTTTCTGATGAACGGCGACTATGTGTTGCAAAAAATTATGGGGATGAAATGCAGAATTATCAGGAAACTTTCACCCACTTTATTTTCCTAAAATATTTCATTCAAATTTGACTACCACAAGCACATCCAATTTACACATATAATTAACACCACTGTTCAATTTTGATATGTTTTATATGTTAGCTCAGCAATAAGCATATTCGAAAAAAAAAAAAAGAAGAAAAAGAAAAGAAAAACTTAATAATGCAACAATAATATACACAAATAGAGAAATAAAAAAAAAAAGAGAAAAAGCTTACTCTTTAATTCTGCCATAAATGATAGATGAGATCATACACATAATCAGTTGTGCAGAGAACATATCATGAAATCTGCATAGTTGTGCATGATATATGCCATTAGCTCGAACTCTCATTAATATGAGACATCCTTGAATTGCTATTACTAAAGCTATAAATTCCTTATTCTTCCAAAGGTAGCTCTTTCTTTCATTTATCATTATTCCTTTCACTTAAAGTTCTGAAACAAGAAAGAAAACAATGTGACGAAAATTTGCTGAATTTATGAAATAAAACTAAAATATATGACCAACAATATAAAATTAGGAAAGATCTAAATATAAAAATTATATCTTTAGCAAGTATATGCATTGTAAAGTATTCAGTTATTATTTCATAATATTCATGTGATATTAATAAAGGTCATATGATAAATATAAGATAAGTCACATGACATATAATGATTATAGGGTTTTCGTCAATAATTCTTCCTTAGATTATATTCACTTAAATTTTAGCAAAATCTCACGAATTAATCTTAAACATAATTTTTTTTTTCATAAACTTTTTTATAAACATGCATACACACAAATAATTTTTCATATTTTAATTTCACATAAGCATAAGGGATTTTAAGAAATTAAAAAGGAAAAGACAGGAAAAAAAAAAGAAAGAAGGAAACTTTTCCGAAATCATAACTGTTCTACCATAATTTATATTAATTTAAGTATGCTATATAATATAATTATTTGACTATTCAAATGATTAAGACATACAATTACTTCACTACTCAAGTAATAAAGTCAAAAATTAAAAATTCATTTAAACTGGAAAACATTTCATTTTATTATCTTATTACTAAACAAATAATTTGCTATACATTACTTTGCATATTTCATTCTCCCTTCTCAATTGATCACACACTCTATCATCTCTTATCATTTCTATTAAGTTTGTTATTTTTTTACTTCTCACAGAATATACCATTCATCTTTATTCTCATTTATAATCTCTTCATTCTCACATATCAATTAGAAATTCTTCTCAAAACTATCTTAACAATAATTTCTAAAATATCATTCGAGTTCTACAATCACCTCTAATTTACACTCACTCCGCACTCCATCCCTACCACCCAACCATTATCAACCAACCTTATCACTCAACCTTATCACTCGACCCACTCTTATCACTCAGTCATCCCTTCCTTTCGATTTTTGGAACCAGAAACCATGATGAAATGAAATATGACGCAGACGCTATGAAACAGTTTGTATCACAGGGTGGAGGATGACATAGTCATACTTTATAACCTGGAAAATTCATCATTTACAAATTTTGCACAGTACAAATTATTTTTGTATAAATAATCCAAATTGAAAATAAAAAAATCCTTTCTTTTTAAATAAAATATTAGCAAATTTAAGACGAAAAAGAATTTATTAGTTTCTGAACGTATCAATAATGCAAAATTTATTAAATGTACTACTATTATCTTTCATTGATAATGTTAATTTTTTTTTTTTTAAAAAAAAAGGAAAAAAGCAAAGAAAGAGAGGTTTGTTGCAAAATTATTTAAAATTATTTTAGAAAATGAAAATTTAGAAAAAAAATAATGAAAGTATAGAATCGAAATAAAATATGAAAACAATGTGAATTATACAATTTTAATAATCAAATGATTTTTAAATATTTATTATTTTTAAAGATGGATTAAATTATCACTTCTGAAATGTTAGAGATTTTTTTTTGAAACCAAAATTAGATGAAATATAATAAAATAATTTGAATCAAAAAAGAAAGAGGAGAACATAACCTTATTTATAACTTGAAATATTTGTAAGTAATTACAATTAATTCAACATAAAATAACGAAAAACTTATGCATAACGAAATATTTGAAATTCAAATTTAAAAACTTTCATAAATTTTTTTTTTAACCTTTCATTAACAGTAATTTTGTTTTATTATTTATTTTTTGTATGGGAACATATTTTTCTAGAAATTACATATTCTTATCATTTTTTTTATAGCAGATTATATAATTAAAACTATTCATGTATTTTATTTTTTTATTTAAATTAGTTTTGAAGCGGATTAATTCTGAATTATTCAAATTTGTTTATTTGTTTGTTTTCTTTTTTTTTTTTAAATCTATTTGTTAACTCTAACATTTTTTGATATTTCAAATTGTATTTTGTTTGAAAATGAATAAATCTGCAGAATATGAAATAAAATTTACAAAAATAAATCAATTGATTTGATTAATTAATTCATTCTAATCTTTTTTATCATTCACAAATATTAAATTAAATTCTTTACATTCTGCATCTGAGTTTATTTTTTATTAGCATTTGTCTTTTTCTTCTTTTTTTACGGATCAATTCGGAATTTTTTATCATTCCGATCAGTTTTCGATCAGATCAAATTGCATTCACTTATTTTATTAACTAAAATTAAAAATTATGCAAAATTATAACCTAACTGAAGATAAAATTTTAATGTTTATCATAAATTACAATAATAAATTTTGAATTTGATTTTAGAATTGACTTATCATGAAGCAATTTGCGTTGAAATTATTAAAGCTAAATTATAAAACATTAAAAAATGGCTAATTTACTTGCTAAATAAATCAAATTTTGTTTTTTCGATCATATTTTGAATCTGATTTTGCTAAAAATGCTAAATGCATTATAAATTTTGCTGTTGCTAAGCAACCATATTGTTCTATTAATAAATATTGATTTCATTTTAGTTTAAGTATTTTATCTTCTTTAAACAAAAAAAAAATAAATAAATAAAAGGGATAAAGTTTTTGATAAACAAATCTCTAACCATATTTTTATTTAATTAAGAATAATCATATAAAAAAAAAAAAATCAGTTAATAATTTATTAATACAAATTTATTAATATAAATAAAATTTATGCGATTTATTTTCAGATTTATTTTTACTTTTTTTTTTAGAAATTTTATTTTTATTAATATTTTAATTTTAATAATTATAAATCAGAATTTAATGGATGATTGCGATGGACCAAATACATATATTGCAACAAAATCAAAAATAATAGCTGAAAAAGTTAATACTGGAATAATAACTGATCCTCGACAATATCGACATCAAGGTTTTCCTTTTTTTTTTGTTTCTAATTTTTTTTCAATTTTTTAAATAATTTAAAAAAAAAAATTTTTTTTTCCAGTCTTTTATTAAAACATTTTTTTTGTTTCTTTTGGTAATATTTTTTCATCTTTCTAATTTTTTTTTTTTTTTTCATTCTTCCATTACAAATATTTGTTTATCTGAAATTCATTTTGAATATATTTCAATGCAAATATCTATTTTGTTAGAAATGAAAAAAAAAAGGAAAATTCTTTTTCAACTTTAATTTTTTAGATTTTGAGTAAATTTCAAGTTAAATTCAAGTATAAGAAATAATATTTAAATTAAATTAAGTAAAAATTATTATTAATACTATTGTTATTATTATTACTGTTATATTATTAATTTATAATTATTGCTATTAGTATTATTATTAAAAATATTACTAATATTATTATTATTATTATTACTACTACTACTCTTATTATTATTATTACTATTGTTATATTACTATTATTATTATTGTTATTATTATTATTACTATTGTTATATT